GTCGAAAAACCTTTTTACTTAAGTATCTAAACTTCAATTCCTTTGCTCTCTCTCTCTCTCTCTCTCTCTCGTACATCACTATATACTTAACCCTTAACCACAACAACATTACAGCGCACCCAACACTCCCGACCAAAGGGTAGGTCTCTTTCGGAAATTATAATCAATAATTCAACATAAATCAACAATCATTTCATATTTTGATATGTGTTTAAGTATACCGTAGTATTTAACCATTATGGTGTATTTATATTGCATACAATTGTAACCCATCACAATTATAGGGAGAGAACGTAAAAATGCCAAATAATCTGAAAAGTTTAATTTACAAGCCTTCAAGGGTTTCAATAATTATAAACTCTCTCTCTCTCTCTCTCTCTCTCTCTCTCTCTCTCTCTCGACTTCTTAAACCCAAAATTCTTTAACTGCCATATATTTCAGGTCTAAAACAATCCGAAAGTATATAAACAGTAGATATTGTAAAGAATACATTATATGATGCGAATAGAAATCCATTTCAAGTCCTACATAACCCCCGAGTGTTTACATCTGTTTTTTGTCGATTCAGTCGATCTCTTAGAAGTGGAGGAAAACACACACAAAATGTACAGATAATACCCTTTTGCTGAAGAGAAAGAGCACAGAGTAAGCAGTTTTGCAGTGGATTTCTTACCACTGGATAAGAAGGAGAGAGAGAGAGAGAGAGAGAGAGAGAAGTAAGAGAGGATGGGGGACCTAATGGCGGCCCTGAAATGTGAGACTTTATGGTCCATAAGTTTTGATATGTAAGGCAGCCGAAGAGCCGGTGCCGCCAATTATATCCATCAATGAAAGCGATTTAAAACGTCCGGAAAACATAAACAGTTAAATACTGTCTACCAATTAATTATGTCGTTGTGTTTTGAATACTTTGAATAGTTTTCACGTGTAGTGAACTTCTCATCCATAAGTAAATTGCCATTGATTTTCATATTTGTCTTTTCATTGTAAGCGTTTATACAGTATTTTCTAAGTTTATGTTTATATCTCTCATCTGATTAGATATGAAAACTATTTTTATATTCCCTGAGAACTCTTATTAAGTGTTTATATTTCCGATATTATGAACACATTTTTATATATGAAAGATATTTTAATGACTGTTTTGCTTATCGACACAAAACATCGCTTTTGTTTTATTTCCTTAAAATTGCAAAACTTATTATAAGAATATTTTTCATTTAAATATTTCAAACAAATAGCAAATAAACAAAAATAAAAACCAAACTAATCATAAAAATTTCAAACAAACAAAAAATGTTGTTTTTTCTCGTTATTAATATGAAAATATGTTGAATAGTCTTTTCAACACAAAAAACAAGTTCACTATAAAAACAAATAATAATTTCTTAAAAATAACAAATAAATAAAACTTTTAATTATTTAATTCAATATAAACTGATTAGGGGAACACTGATTTATTACCGTTATTAATCTAAACTAACTAAACATATACTAACTTTGCGTATAATATGAACCGATTCTGTGTCTCGACTTCTCATATCTATGCCATGTATTTATATGTTGTCTTATTTTTCAATTGATTTTATAGATCAGCAAAATAGCGATCGAAAGGTGCGGTCATTACAGTTCATGTCGTGATTGTCTTCAGGCCCGCAACCCGTACTGCGGCTGGTGTTCACTCCAGAAGAGGTATGTCATCCACCACTACATCCACACACACTCTCCATAACCAGTCTATAGACAACCCCTTTCCCGACACATACCATGTTATCTCGTTTTTTTGTATCACACAATTGCTTAGAAAATCAACAAAAATAATCTTATACTTTGATTATTCCCTATTATTCGACTCATATCCTCATGATTTATATCTCTCGCTGCCATTAATTATATTTATTGTATATGTAATATGTCTTATAACTAACTCTTGTCTTTCGTGTGTTGTTTTTTGTTTTCTGGGATCAGTTGTACCCTAAAAGGCGAATGTCGTGACCACAAGACCTCATCGTCTTCGCGTTGGCTCTCACTCGACACTCAACAGTGCATTGATTTTCAATCAATCAAACCGGAATCACTGCCCATCACTTCCACTGATAAGGTAACTAACCATCCCATCCAACACAACCTCTCTCTATATCTCTCTCCCACTTATTCCCGACTTTAATACTTATGGTTTCGGTTAAGTATTTTGCTGTATATTTTTCACACATGTTTTAATTGGCAAATTAAAGCCCCAACGCTTTTATATACAAATACTCTTATTTCTTGAGTTAATTTACTGCTATTTACAAACTCTAGGATTGATTGCAATTTAAAAAAAATAAGCAAAACATAAGTTTTTGCTTTTATTTATTTATTCGGTTTTCTTTCTCATTAACTCGTAGACTTTATTCTGTAGACTCTCTCTCTCTCTCTCTCTCTCTCTCTCCTCTTATCCAGTGGTAAGAAATCCACTGCAAAACTGCTTACTCTGTGCTCTTTCTCCTCAGCAAAAGGGTATTATCTGAACATTTTGTGTGTGTTTTCCTCCACTTCTAAGAGATCGACTGAATCGACAAAAAACAGATGTAAACACTCGGGGGTTATGTAGGACTTGAAATGGATTTCTATTCGCATCATATAATGTATTCTTTACAATATCTACTGTTTATATACTTTCGGATTGTTTTAGACCTGAAATATATGGCAGTTAAAGCATTTTGGGTTTAAGAAGTCGAGAGAGGAAGAGAGAGAGAGAGAGAGAGAGAGAGAGAGAGAGTTTATAATTATTGAAACCCTTGAAGGCTTGTAAATTAAACTTTTCAGATTATTTGGCATTTTTACGTTCTCTCCCTATAATTGTGATGGGTTACAATTGTATGCAATATAAATACACCATAATGGTTAAATACTACGGTATACTTAAACACATATCAAAATATGAAATGATTGTTGATTTATGTTGAATTATTGATTATAATTTCCGAAAGAGACCTACCCTTTGGTCGGGAGTGTTGGGTGCGCTGTAATGTTGTTGTGGTTAAGGGTTAAGTATATAGTGATGTACGAGAGAGAGAGAGAGAGAGAGAGAGCAAAGGAATTGAAGTTTAGATACTTAAGTAAAAAGGTTTTTCGACTGAGAGAGAGAGAGAGAGAGAGAGAGAGAGAGAGACTGAGTTAACCTAACATTTAAATTGGTGTTTGCATACAGTGTTTAGCTAAGGGTCCGCTTACGAGACAAGAGCTCCGGAATGATAGGACAGACACTCAAACTCCACAAATCAAACAGAGTTTTAAGTGAAGTCAAACTTATTTTGAGTCAATCCTTATAACAAACTCCGCTACTCTTAACAAACGATATATTCAAACATTGATTAATCATTGATTGACTTTAATTATATTTAGTCTATTAGACTGAACGGCTGACTAACATCGAAAAAGTCCTGTTACTTGTCGTTGTGTTTATGATATTTATACGAAAATTGTTACAAAAATCAGAATTGATTTATAATTAGTGCCAAAATGACGGCAAATATTCATAATTTTGTGTCCGAAATATCCTCTTCTCCCATAAAATTGGCTCGAAAATAATATTCTCGCAAATGATTAATGAGTTTTCAAGTGAAGAGTTTTTGAGAGCAAAAATATAATTATTTTAATTATATTTGGAGAGAGAGAGAGAGAGAGAGAGAGACAA